TTTCTTCAAAGCAACAGCAGTCCCGTTCGTAGGAGGTGCTGTCTGAAAAAAGGCTCGTTTAGAGAAGTTTTAAACGCCCCAAAGTTAATGGTGGATCCCTGAGGGATGGTGTTTCATTTCACTTCACTACAGAACAAAGCAAATTATTCAGAAGGACTCGAAAATGAGAGGAGACGGAGGGAACACTCGACGTCAATCATGGCCTTCTTCATTCCATTCGAAGTCGTCTGTTCGTTTAACTCTCTAGGAAACCTCACAGAGAATCCTGCTTTGTGTACTTTGCCGCTCTGCAATTTCGCACAAATCCGTTGCTAGAGTCACCAGTATGAGACGGTGTCTTTTACGATCCCCTCTCAGCTACTACAAGGAAACCAAGAAGTGCAACAGATCAGAGTAGAATATAAAGCACACAGAATAAAATCGACTAGAAAAAAATTAAGATACCAACCCACCAAGTGCTTGGATTTAATCAGGCGACCGGCACTTGCTCGCCATAACCGACGGAATCTCGAGGACTTTGCCTTAGCATTGGTTCCGTTCTGAAGTTTTCACTTGGAAACCTTTTCAAAGATTTTTATGATCACACTAGAGATCACGTCCTTCTGGATTTTTATGAACATAAGAAGAAATAGTTTTGTTACAATGTCGTGTAGGACTACACATCGAAATTAAAACAAGCATGATCTAAATTTATGGCCATGGCTGAAGAAAACTTTGTGGCTCTCTTTGGAACTTGTCTATTGGGTTACCAACGATATGTTCAGTAGCAGCTTCCCCTGGCATAACCCACCCATGCCCTCAGTGAAGTAGCGTACCTGCAAAAGTGAGATTATTCAAGAAGGCTAATTGCTTGTGGAAGATGAATGGGACGACTCTTTCTCTTTTGGATAGCAGTTCTTGATATCTAACCCTAACGAATGAAAAAGTGAGGGGAAATCGGCAGCACACGAGAGGTGAGAAAACCATGAGCAGGCCAGACAGATGTAATCACCCGTACCCACGAAAGTCAATGAGAGCGGCCAGGCACACTTGTCTTCTACTGTTGGGGAACAAAGCCTACTTGTTTTGTTCTACCCGATCAGTGGCCTCAATTTCAACACCGAACCGGGACATTTTCGTTCTCAGTAAAGCTCTTGTAACTCTTTATAACATTTCTCTAAATTTTCCACTAGTAACCAATAACTTGCCTCAATTTGTGCAATGCGTGCTTCCAAGTTGCGGAGTGTTGCTGATTCCACGTTACTGATCTCGTTGGTCAGATTTGAATCCAATTCGAGTTGCTTTATACGAGCTCTAAGATCGCCAAGTAGAGCTGCTTCCAGATTACTGTATACGACGGCTGCATTTGACGTCTTTTCAAGTTTTGCTATACGCTCTTCGAGGGCGAAGAGCACTTCTAACCCTACATCATTGTTGTCGTCAGCGAGTGACGATTTCGAATCCGTATGAAAAGTTGATCCTTCCACATTTGAAGGCGTTGCTGTCTTGGTAAGATTCTCCGTGGTGGGATCGCTTGGTGCTTCTTGGCTTTGCCGTCTATCAAAGTCTGGAGGCGTTTTTCTTTCAACGTGGCTAACACCACCCTCAGCGATTGAGTTTCTTTCCTAAACAAACTAATCAATACTGATTTTGAGCCACAATTATTGTATCGAAATTCTCTGTGTGTGTATGTGTGTATGTGTGTTAAATATTTCACATCGAGCAATTTTGAACGACAAGTAAAAGTTTAAATTTGTAAAGAAGCCAACCGGAGATGCAACATGAGGTGGTGCATTCGAAGGTAGGCGTGAATTCGAAGACGGGAGGGAGTTACTTAATTGGTTAGTAGTAAGCCTTGGTTGCCGACCACTAGAAATTTTGAAATGAATTAAATATTTTCAGAATCGAAAAAAATAAATGGAGACCTCGCCTACCTATAACTGACTACGCTCCGTACACCGAAAGTGATTTCGATTGTTTGCAGGTTCGAATTGATTTCAGAACGTGGAATGACGAATAAATGGCTAGGGTTTCGGGGATGAAATGTGACGAGAGCCTGGAAGATCACTTACTCATCGACAACAGCGTGAACGAATTGAAAAAATGAAATGGATTTGGATTTTTGCTATTTTTTTCTGTTTGAGTAGAGGGTCCTGACTCTCGAATCGTATCCTGTCCATAGTCTCTTCGAAGAAAAACTTTGAGAATATCCGTTAATTTTTGGAAGACGGGAATCGAACTGATACTTTATAGCAATTCATTAGGCTTTTGAAATAAAAAATGTTTATTGAAGAAAAGGGGCTTACTTCACGAATGGGCTCGTTACGCCCCTGCTCAGCATAGCCTCGGGCGGCGGAAAGGCCGATAGTGATGTATGCTTCACAGAACCATACACTTCCTTCGAAATCAGGGCTACACCATAAAACTATCTCCAGTGTTGACGGATGAAGTGAGGCTTCGGCTTCCCTGAATTAAATATTGGGATTCGATTTATATTCTGCTCTTCGGTCTCCTGGTCATATGTGAATTACTGTTCTTCTTTAACACAGTATCACACAGGCATGGTCACGGAATAGAATCCCAGATCGATATCCGCCCAAGGTAACCAAGCCCTATATTTCATCGAGGTCGATCAAATTGGAGGCAGACTTGAGTGGACAGAAAAAAGCTCCGACTTGTACATCGGCTAGCCATCGCAGGTTATTGTGTAGGCCAGATACGTATTCAACGTCCCTTACGATTCTGAAGGAATCCAAAGGAGGGGGCGCATCTGTCTCGAAATTGGTACGGAGGAAACTCAAACCCAAATTTTCTATTCAAGGAGAAAATGTAGTCAACAGATCCGATCTTTCTTCCGAGGTCATCCGCAGTGATTCAAGTCTTTTCGTGCTGATCAATCCCAATCTCGGAGGTGCTCCTGCATTCGACTCCCATGGTTTTGAACGCCTATGGGCCTACACAATGACTTGCGGTGGTCAATCAGTGTCCAAGCCAGTACTTTTACCCTCCCAGACAAATCTGTTACCAATTACTATAATTGACTCTGGAGAGAGCAAAGGCTTGATCGACCTGGGCAAGTATCGATTGAAGATTCGATCCCGAGCCATACGTGTGTGGTAGCGCGCCACTTACCACTACACCAGATCTGCCCTCGAAAACGGCATCAGTTCTCTATTAGAACCATTCAATGTAGCAGCATTCCGGCAGGAAAATTGACTATATTGGCATCGACCTTACGGCTTCAAAGCTTTTATCTTTCGAATAAGACAAACACAAAGTAAACAGACAGAAAATCCCTTACCAATTCATCCCGCACGAATTCTTCTTCATAACGGCGCTCTCACGAAAATTTAAAGATTCCATAGACAGCCACATATGTACAGTGGTCACCATATTTTAGGTTATCGGCGAAGTCGTTCTAAAAAAAATGAAAAGTCAACATAGCAACGTCTGAGTAAACTAATAAGCGCAATTCAGCACGATGCTATTGTGAAAGCGTCGAATGTGTACAAGATCGATTGAAACTTGCAAGCTACACTCACCAAGAACTAGCACTCAAAAAAAGGCGATGGAACACAAGGAGATGTAGTAGGGCTGGAATATGACAAGCAATACAGAGCAATACGCTCACTACGTCAAAAGGTGCTCATTTTGGAACTATGCAGATGATTCGAAGCAGCATTCAGGGATGGGGTGCGTTAGGAACGAAATGGTCGCGTCGCGGTGAGAGGGGCGTCGCGCGCGAAGGAATGTAGCATGATGCGGTGGTAGGTAAAAAATACAAGAACAAAAGTACTAATAGTAGAATTATGCATAAAATAATGATCGCATATCGATTGAGCTGTATGAAGAACGCTTGAGCTGTAATAACGGCAAATGAGTAGTCCGCGACAGCCGCGTGCGGCGAATCGATTACCCAAAATCGTTCCTAACGCCCGTCTCCCAGCATTCAGCTAAGGACTGTCAGAACAACAAATAATCTTCTGTCTGCTGTCTTCTAGTCGTTCATGGATGCTTTTCCTTTTCGTGAGAGCAGGAATGGAAGATTCTTATAGCAAATCTTCGAAGGTGGGTGCCAGTAGACTTGTGAATTTGGAGGTACCGAAACTAAATCGCTGCTCGAAGAAACACTAAAGGTGACCCTTTGGAGTTTCCCCATCTGGACAGCTCTTGCACCATTGCTTTTCTTTCGTCTCTGCTGGAACGATCCGTTGGTGAATGAACTCTCAGCTCAGCAAGTTAAGGAGGCCCGGGATGAGCTTACCAGCGAGTTTGAATCCGGGCATTGTATGAGTTGAGTGTTTGAGAACGGCAATGCTTTCAAATACAACAATGTCCCCTCTCACTGAATGGCTAGCCTTGGAAAATAAAAAAAGCCTATCGATCTGACAATTACGGTTATGTAGGAGACAACCCCACCAGGGGAACTGCTATGCAGATGCGTCTTCTTGGAGGAAAAACAATCGAAAATGTCTGTCATTCAACTCGCTTGCAAAGAATCTACACAACAAAGTAAACCAAAGAATAGCAATCGAGTCAGTTGACTCATCCCGACGCTCGAATTCCAAAAGAATCATCATGGTTGCGTGCAGTTATCAGTGAATGCTATACGTTTCTGAAAAGAACTCTGATAATGTCACCGAAGACTCAATGGCCTTATCTGAAGGTTATTGGACTTCAGAACAAAATGAAGGGTGGATGAAAGCATGTGAGGCAACGGAGAAAAAATTGAAGTAATGGGTGCTGGATGTAGGTTTATGATCCAAGAAAGCCTGTGAATCTTCCGGCGAACGGCTGTATTGAGGTCAGTAAGAGTTTCCTGTGAGAAAGAGGAAAAACAATGAATCTGAGTGAAGGGCTCAATAAAAGCTGTAATGGAATGAGGCTAAAACTGTGTAGTGTTTTTTACAGATCGCAATACGCCGGCTTCACGTCACTGGGCCTGGAATGTGGAGCTTCGCATGGAATAAGAAACTTCATTTAGGGAAGGTGTATTGGTATTGTCCGGAATATTCAATGCGAAATATTTACTTTTCGACGAGAGAAACAATGATAAATAGGGCAGAAATTTTTTCAGAAAAGCCAATATCATTTGTGGGATGCGCCACGCATTCCACTTGCATCCAGAATCGTAGAGCCATTTGAATGCGTATGTGGCCTCAAATGGGAGGGGCGAACTTCGAGTAAGTGCTTGTATCCTCTCAGAGGAGTCTAGTACCAGTTACCCGATTCTGAATGTATGGAAAGCTTTGTTAGTCTTGACAAGTATCCATATGGGATCCTAACACTGGACCATGATTGCAAAGTAATCAGAGGCTCGAAGAGATTCCGGAAATCGGGTAGATTAGTCTTAGATTTGAGTAAGAAAATGCTAACACAAGGCATACATTTGCCCGTAGCACTAGTGACGGGCGCTTTTTTTTGAATTTTAAATAGTATTGAATGAATATTCACTCCGTGAAAGTACGCACTACGCGCTACCTACGAGAAATGCACGATTGCAATTGTTCAGGGGAGGAACCAACGACACAGTTGCCTTATCTGCATATTTCAGTGAAATGGCAAGTACATTGGTCAAACTAGTGTTGTCTCACAATGCAAAATCTATCTACTCCAGAAAATCCTCTTTTCCATTCCGGTCTCACAAGAGGAACTGAGCCGATGAGCTCTTCCCCTTATCAAAATGCTGCTCAGCTAAAATTCTTTCCGTACCCGCTTAAAGACACCGTTCACGATAATTTTGGGTAATCCAGATTATGATGAAAAATGGAAGACAAGATCGAAACTAGTGCGACTGAGGTGAAGAAACTGCGTGCATCGGTGTTTCCAGATGGAAAGAANGGGCGTCCGGACGAGCTAAACAGTGTGTTTCACTGCGCGCGTGTGGGTCCTGGCGCGAATAACAGACAATGGTAAGCAAAAACTCACTCACTTATAAGCATAAATAAATCTTTTTCAGCCTCTAAGAGTAGGTAATTAAATAAGGGATCGCGGCAGCAAAAAGAAAAACAGGAAAAAAGAATGGGAGAAAAACATCGCCTCATCACTGGCGGTTAGCTGTTTGTGCGTGGGTCCTAGAGTATTCCTAAAGGAAAAACTCAGTAAACTTTTTTACGTGGACCGTGCCTTTAATATATGATGACCCTAAGTAATGTTTGTGAGATAAGAATCTCAGGAAAAGTGTCTTAGAGCTAACAAATAATAAAAGTGGTATCAAAATGAGGTGGTTTGGTAGCTGGTCCTTGAGGGTTTATGAGTCGCTCCAACTCAAACGCCAAACAGACTAGGACATGTGTGTCATAGGACTTCTATGATTTGCTTGGTGGTCGGCTGGTGGTCATAGTCTCAACTCAAGTAATAGTATGTGCATAATTTAGTTTAGTTTTCTGATTCACCGATGAGCCTCAGGTGACGACAAAACTAGTTTGGGTATGACTAACTGACTACCATCAGTGTGTTCCTTTATTGTAATGTTTCTTCGTTTCTTCATTGTTTATCTGAATAAATTTGATAAAAATTGTCTATGATTTTTTTTACGTCCGCTGTTTCAGTGCTACTCTCCCGTCCTCATACCTGACCCATTTGCTTCAAATTGCAGTCAAACACCTTAATTCCTTCCTTCATATTGCAGATTCCTCGTAATTTTTCCTCCTCCTTACTCCGATCCTATGGTTCCTACTCTGTCTCCTCTCCTAGTCACCTGAGACGTGCCTTTTTTCGTTTAGTCGTCTCGTCGGTCTGAGAGTGCTTAAGGGCACAGAACGCAATAATTTTAAAGTCCGTAATTTCAGAGGAATAACGGAAGTGATAATCGTCCAGATCACTTCAAAGATTAGCAAACATAGAGGTTAGCCTAGAATGTGACAACAAAAGCTGCATGGATAGGAAATTGTACAGTTTTTCAAGGGGAAGGGTCATTGCGTTCAGAATCTCGTCCGCTTTTGGGTGTGCACGTCAGCTAAGCCTGTCTTTGAGGCTTTATAAGCCCCTATCTAAACCGCTTTTTTAACTCGACGCGTCCCCCAAGCTATTCTAGGGGATCTTAGGTCCATCCTAAGGGGAATTTCTGGAATCATTTTTATCGTTAGCTGTGCATTTGATGGTAAAGTCACTGAAATTGCCTGTCGAACACATACAATTATTATTATTTTATTAGTATAAAATATATTTACAGTACAATCAACATAAAAATTAGTCCGCTAGTAAAAAACTGCTATTCAAGCAGCTAAAATAGCTACAAGCGATAAGGCAAATGATCCACGATGCACACAAACAAACTTGCATTGATATCTCATAAAAATTCATAGAAATAAAAAAAATCCTATTAGAATTACAATATTCAACAATACAGATAGTGCAATCCATTTTTAATTACAGTTAGTCTATACGGTTATTCACAGAGCTTCCCAACAGCCGCAGTCACTGGTTGTACTGAAAAAAGAAGACGTCTGAATGTACAATGGAATGGGTCAAAGGCAAGAAGTGAGAAACCCCCAGAGTCATGAGAAAAGAGGGCGAAGGTTTTGGTAAAGGTATCCTGTGGGAATATTCAACCTGACAGACTCACCTGCGGATTGCTCTGCTCCATCCCTCCACCTTGATACAAAGCAAGCGACATCTTTGCGTAGTTCAGAAAAGCATTACACCACGTAGATTGGTTTATTGGCCCGAAAGTGTGTGTAATCTGAAAAAGACGATATCATAATGGGTAAATGTGACTCCTTTCTCATGGACGAGACAGAACTGGATGGGGGGGGGGGGTTGCACTGTAGACCTCCAATATTCTCCAACCCCTTTCAAATGAAAGTTCATTCCCCTCCATGTCCCCAATAAACAGCATTAAATTATCCTGCACCAAACATGAATTCATTGATAGGCGATTGAGAGAATATGGGAACCAACTCTACTGGGTTACTACTACTTTGCTCTCTCGTGTGTTTCATTGGAAAGACCATTGCAAACGAGGCTGAAATATAAGACGTTTCCCCATTTGCTATGGTAATCCGGCTGCTGTTCCTTCATCGAATACGTGGTTACTACGTACTCATCTTCCACCACCATCGAAATACCCAAGGTCTTCCTAGATGAATCATAGTGACACAGAAATGAAAATTCAGCTTGCTAACCCATGCTCGCAGTGGTCTTGCGATGTAATACAGAGCTTGTGGAAATCCTAAATCCGGCTCATACATGACGAATCGAGAAAGGACCTTGAACTAGGACATCGTAAGGGCACATGGGTAACCGCTGCATTCACCGGTTGGGCAAGGACCCATAGAAAAATTTTTGATAGAGCCCCGTGCTTCCGTTGTGACCTTTCATTCCCGTCGTAGACTACTAGATTAGGGCGTGTATGAAAGTGAGATCATCTAAACACTGCAGTAAAACTTGGTGTCTGGAACAGTTCTGGATCCGCTGCTTTTCATTTCAGGGAGGGGTCACTGTGGTAATTGGGTGCCTTTCCTGCATTTTGTCATAGGGAAGGTGATCTCATAGGATAATGGGGACAAGCAAATGTTTTCAAAGTTACAAGATCTTTTTCATCCTTCTAGGTGATCACGAAAAATGAGAACTAACCAGATTGAAATGGTTCATTCCGAGTTCCAGTTCATTATGTATAGGGACATTGTTTTGTATTCGCGTTGCCAATGGTGTCTGTAATTCGGTGAACATCCCGTTCAACTCGTCCAGAATTCGTCTAAAAATTGCATTTTTAATGCTGAAAGCTTTTCTTTCTAGCGCCTAGATGAAAGATTGATTGGTTAGAAGATCGATCTTCGAGATTTTTCTCCAGTAAACTGCTTTCTTTTAAAGAACTTACATCGCTCCAATCAGATCTCGTTGCCTCTCTTCCGGATGGCTAACCGATTTGCGAGCTGCCATGTCGATCAGGGGTCGAACAGGGTAGTGCTGCTGGACGAGTGTGTGCATATCTCGTCCGAGTTGTGTTGCCTCTTCTATAAATACGCTACATTAGAGTCATCGTCGCCTATCCCCTTCATCTGATCAGTTCCGAGTGAACTACAAAGGTCAGTTTTCACGAAGGAGTTCGTTGGGTGGAAATCCGTTTTAGTTTTGGTACTCTTGACAGTTCCCTTTACAATAATAACGGAACGAACTGTAAAATTTCTAGAGAATTTGGAAAGGAAGCACCTTCAAAAGCAATCATAAACATGCAAGTGACAGCAAGGTTGGTTACAGTTGATATCAATTTCTGGGTTCCGGTTGTATGAGTTACTAGTACTACGATGACTAGGTACTACAAATTTCAATCAAAAGTAAACTTTACCTTCAACCAAACATGTGAAGACGGTATTCTGTATGCCTTTCCTTCTTCCCGACGGCAAAGAAATTCCATGTTTAGCCAGATTGTCTCTCAGCTCCTTACCGACCTCCTTGGTCTTGGCCCTGAAAAAAAAAGAAATTCAAATGAGAAAGGGTCCACAAAGTTCGAAAATGTAAGTTTTTTTAAACATGGCAAAAAGCTGTCTTGTGCTGAAGCGAAGGACCATGACTGATTCTGAAACTGTCGAAAAAAAAGGAAAAATAAAAAATAAAAATCAAGCTAGCGGACAATCTGAGGTAGATTCCAAGGAAACTGCTGTTGAGGCATTCCGGAGGGGCAATACGGCGTTTCAGCTCGGCCAGTGTGACCTGAAAATAAATTGAATTGGCTCCAAACTTTGTTAATCTAGCTACGAAGCACAGCCACAGGAACAACACCTGCTGCTGGAATATTCAAAAGGGTTTAGTAATATTGGAAGGATGTGGTGCAGTGGCAAGTGACGCATCATCACACAGGCAGGGATCGGATCTGGGGTCGGTATTCGCCCGGACCGAGTCTTATATCCATCCAGGGTCGGAATTGAAACCAAAATTGTGTAGGAGGGTAAAGCAGTGACCTTTACAACGGCTGTGCACCGCAACTTATTGTGTAGGCCACATAAGCCCTCAAAATGCAACTTCAAAAACGATTCTAAATGGAAGTCGTAAGAGCGGCGCATCAAAGAAGCGTATCGATTAGCACTAATAGGCTTTAACCTTCTAAGACTTTAGTTAGGAGCTCACTTTGTTCTTGCTGATGTGGTTCAATCGACTGGGCACTTGAAACAGCACTTCGTCGTCCTTGGTTAACTTCGTTTCGGATGAAGTCGATGGAGTGCTTTCACAGCTCGATGATCCACTGCTTCCACCTGTAAGTGTGTCTGTCCGTTGACGTTACCCAATGAGTAAGTTAATGGAAACTTTTAAAAGGTCGTAAATCTGTTCCCTAGGTAAGCGACTTGACTTACTGATTCCAGAATCATTACTGGATGTGTTGGAGTGTGTTGACGAGTTCATTGGTGAACAGCTAAACGGTGTGTACGTGGGGTTCAAGTGCATCGGCATCTGAAATTGGAAGGTCCTCCTAACATCTTCAAGTAGGGGACTTTAAATGTTCATAAATGACAGTTGGAACAATGTGGAACTTGATAGATTATTTTAGATCGCCGCCCGAAAGTAAAAAAGGTATTACTATGTATCATCAATTATCATTGGTATCATCGTACTGTACTTGATGGAAATTGGAGTAATGGGGCTGTCGCAAATGCATGACGCGTGGAGTATAATCTTTACCTTGTTTACTGATTTTATTTACTGTCTGACAGTTAGGTTTTATAGCTTCATAAATTTGCCCTGGCCCACCCTCCTCATACGATAGTAATCATGAGCTGTCGCCATCCGGTTTTGGAGGAAAAATCGCTTTTGTGTTTCAACAAATTTTATCCTCGTTCCTAACTGCCGAGAAAAAAAATGTGGAAAAAAATCCCCATCCGTGAAAATGATTGCTGTGTCCGTAACCAGGAACTCCGGAAAAAGAACGAAGAAAAACAAACAAACAAACAAAAATGAAATTAGATGTACCTCGTTAAAGATTGGGCCGACAGGTTGGCAAAAGTCTCCGGGCATGAAAGGTGGCGGTTGATGGTTTTCGTCTTTCCAATCGCTTCGAATTGAGAACGGAGTTGAATGGAACATTGGTGGTGGGGTCATCTGAATGAAAACAATTGCTTTTCCAAATCAAAAGCATTTTAACAAATAAGTCACTGACCATGTTCATGTATGGATAAGGAGGAAACTGGTGGTAGCATTCTCGTTTCGGGGTGTTCAGCTCCAATGTGGTATCTGCTAGCGGACGTTTACGACTCATCGTCGGATTGTTCATCTGCATACCACCGGACATTTCTGAAGCCCCAGAGCGGTCGTGCTGCATTACGGTAGAATTCTAGTAAAGCGAATAAGCGAATGCAGCAAGAAGGGAATAGCTCCAAACAGGATGGAACTTTTCCAGAATGGTAGAGATGTCACAAATCCCAGTCCCGCCTACGTTGATACCTCCGGAGCCACCCAACATGCCCCGCAACCATTTTCCTACGACTCATGGGCACTCCTCGTGACACCTTGACTCTCGGTGGAAGGAGATGGGGGTACTGAAGGCCGGCCCTAGGGCATACATAGGCTGGGCCGACGTTTTCTGACAAGGTGTGAACGAATTCGGATAAGATATAAGGAATCACAAAGGCGGCAAACTTTGTATCAGTGCTATCACAGCCTCTGGGAAGTGAACCATGGGTGACCTTGGGGAGGAAGAGGGTTGCCGCATTTGCCAGTAGTGATAGGATAGTGGGCTCCACATTATGGACCATTATCGCTTGTTTTCTTTCTTGACATTGCGTGGAAGCCCTCATTCCACTTTATTCTTCAAACAAGAACCATTGCCCCGAATGACATGATAACTAGCCCTTTCCTGAATTAGAATTTTGCTCGGATGCCACCTATGGAACCTACAGCAACAAAGGCCAATAAACCCAAACGTTAGTCATGCAAAGGACATACTCAAACCTTTCAATTATCATATCATTTATGTATTATCCCAAAAGAATTGCCTATACCATCGGTATTTATTATTATCGTTGTATTATTATTTACATTTATTATGTAATATTGTTGCTTATTGTACCACCTCATATACTGTTTATTATGGGCTCGGAGAAGCTCAGGAAAGCTAAAGTTTTTTCTCTCAAGCCTTGGAGCTTCCCCACCCCCCTGGTATTCAAAGACAGAACCAAGGGAGGAGAGTTCCACCCGCCATCTGGGAGATCTGACTTTGCATTTGCACCAAATAAGGATCGCACTAATTGATTATGACCGAAAAAGCAGATGTATCTACAGCATACACTTCCCGTCAACCCTCATCCTGGTCTTTCACATATCTTGAAACTTATTTCACGTAATCCCAAAATCATAGGCATTTCGAATTGCTTTAAATGGGACAGAATCTTCATCGTTACGATAACTTTTGCTTGATAAAGTTCTCGTTGTTAACCCTAGATTGCCTTCATCACGGACTGAAACATGGCCCAAAACGTCTCATTTGGACTTATCAAGTGGAACTTCCCGTTTGTCAGTGACCTTCATAGGAGCGAAAGAAATGGAACATGATAAGTTATCCTTCGCTGGACAGGAACCAGCCTAATTACGAGGTCCTCTAAAAAAATTCAAACCTCTAAAAAATAATCAGTTAAAAATTCATAGGATTACTCGAAATTCTACATAAAATGATCATACACGACTGTGGGGAAAGCATGAAAGAAAAGCGTCACGGTGAAAATTTTGATCCAGCATTGAGGAAATTGTTTTTTCACCTTTCATTAGTCGAGAAAAAAATGGGAAGGAGAGGAAAAAAGAAGAACTTCCAGAAAACATTGGTTCGAGGGGCCGCATCTCAAATGTTCTCCAATATGTCAGTATGCCGCCTAATTTTGCTGATCTTCGATAAATAGATAGCTGATCTAACTTTGTACTCAATGATTTGAGAATAAAAAAGAATTGTCAATGGCCTTACAAGTTCCCTTATTGTTTGAAAAAACCGAGTTGATAAGTTTGCTTCTTATCTGGCTATCATGGCTGATTAGTTTTCTCTTAGATCAAAAGGGAACACGGGATCAAAGCAGAAACCAGACGGTCCTTTGGTAGGCTCCCATCTCAGCCAAACCAGGTAGGATTGTTCTATAGCCATTCAATAATCACCATAAAGTCACAGATTTTATGTTTCCTGTGTACTACCAGTTCAGCTTTACACAAATATGTTGCTTACTGATGTTTACGATGGCACTCTGGGATACACTATACGTAGGACTTCTGATCGCCCCCTGTGAGTGTTCAAATGGTAGGTAACCGCGTAAGGCCCCTTCCAATCATTTCTTATCTTTTAAGACGAATTGTGACTGAGTGCTGATTTACAGCTGATCGAGGAAGAGCACAATTTTGTTGGGATTCAATCTGTGGTCCTTAGGTATGTACGGCTGGTATCCTTTTCCGCTGCAGTCTTTTTTGGCAATTCTTTAACGAGTTTAGAGGTTCATCAAAGTTAGAAACGGAATAACTGTGAGGGATAGAGATATAACAATGAAAGATGAAGCTTCTAGCCTTGACGAACTTCTCTGTGTTTGTCGATTAGAAGAACTGGTAAAATATCCTTCATGGTCCGTGTACAGACCATAGGATCGCTTCCTGTACTTTGTATCTCAAGCTTTTGATGCTGTTGCAAGTGAGCTGTCAATACGAAACTTTTGTACAATCTTTGCCACCCTAATAGGTCCTACCCGGTTGTGGCACAGGACTTATATGCAATCAAGCATGCCTTCTCAAGGAAGTAAGCGTAGGTGTCCTTTCGCGTTCCCTTGTAAGCATTTAGAACGACTTCCTATGGCTTTGCCTATTTCAGCATTTCTTATTTTGCTTTATCGCCCACCATAGACGGAAATTGGGCAGAACGAGGTAGTTAAGGTGCTGTGGAACATATGATAGGGAATCAAATCATTGTCAATGTCAGATCAAATCTCGCCTAGTACGGCCAAGGCTCCATTTTGTAGAGTCAGTTGATTTCTATGAGAAGCACTTTTTGTAGGTTGGCTGGAGTCACTTTATGAGACATAGGCACTGAATGAGCCGTTGCCAAATCTTGAAGAGGATGTGAGCTGTTTCTTACAATAGGGTTGGACAAGCCGAGCGGAAATCCCTAAGCAGGAGCTTTCAGCAGCTATGAATCCCATCGTCCTCCCATATCTATGATCATTGAAGTTCCCCTTTTCATAACAATTTTCTTCACGGAATAAGTAGTAACTGTGAAATTTGGTGTTAGCATAAGACTTAAGACCACATCTGATGAGACGGCTCTTTACATTCACCCCGTTTTTATCTCGGCTTCCAGGTCAAGGCTGATATAATCATTGCCAGCATAAACGGCTTCAGATCGCCTCAATCTTTTTGATGATTCATGGATAGTTCCATATTTGAGTTTGGCTCATACGTCCGGATGAGGTCCTTAGACAATGACGAACCTCCCAAAGCTACGATTGACTAAACTAATCGTCATTATGGCGATTTATAGCCATTGACGGATAATTACAATGAGCCGACATATTTATAAGTACCCGCTCAGAAACATTCATTGACACCTACGGAACTTCTACGGGGTACGTGTTGAAGAATAACGATGACTCTATGGCGTTTGACGGTTTTATTGCAGTCATAGTTGGAAGGACCATTTTTGTAAAGGAAGGGAATGAGGCCACTGAAAGAAAGTCAAATTATATCCTCATCTCCTGACTCTAAAATGTTATGATCAAGTCTTCGAAAAATGCAAAGATCAGTCCATCATTCCTGGGATTCGCTATTTATTCGATTTCTCCTGTAACTGGGTAGTTTTATGAATACTTACCTGATCGTTTCGAGGATTCTGAAGGGTTTGCCTGATATTCGGGTCATTTTCTAATCGAATCACTGTTCAGATCCGCCAATCGAACCTTCCCTCCCACCGGGGTCGGTTGATTGGTACCAAACTCGTCTAGGGGGATAAAAGCACCGAGTTGTACATCGGTTGGTCATCGCAATTCATTGCATAGGCCACATACGCATTCAATACGCCGCGACGATTCTGAATGGAAGTCGAATGCGTGGGCGCATCCCTCAGACGGAATTGATTGAGGCCATAAGACTTCATTCTTTGATTCATTTTTTCAGTATGCGAATGAGTGAATGGAATCCCTCACTTGCTTTGGATTGGATATCCTTGCACATGCTCTGCACCACTGAAGAAAAGGAGGACGTCACAGAAGGTGGAACGGACAGGAGTGTTAAAGGCCAGGGAAGGTTACCGTGAAAGTTATCAGTTTGGAAAAAAAAGACAAGCTTAAGGAACCCCAAGGAAAAAAATTAGAGAGACTTGTTCGAAAGGTCTGTCCTAGCTTGATTGGAAATAGGTGAGGCCATATAGCATAGGCCAATATCACTCAAGACCTCTGGATATGCCCATTTGCATTCAAGACCTCTACTTTTAGAAAAAGAGTCAAAAAAGTGGCGCATTCGAATTATTTTTTGCCAAAGATCTGTGCTTTTTATTACTTCTAATCTATTAACCTGTGCTTTTTATTATTTCTGATCTGATGATTTTTTATTATTCCTACTTCTTCAATTTCATTTTGGGAATTCAAAATGCCTTCTTCAATGAACTTTGTTTCTCAAATAACTAGAACTTCAGAGCCTCATCCAGCAGCATCCACTTCCGATGGCTTAAACAAGCCAAATGGGGAGAATTCCTGGTTTATAAACGCTTTTGAGGAGAAATTCACCAGATCACGGGCCATGTTAGGAAGAGATCACCGAGTTTTGCTCATCATTTCAGTGAAATTATCACAAGCATTTCCTTGGCAATTGCAGTTTAAAATTCATATGTTTTCCATAAACGTGTAATTTTATGAACAACACATATACATTGTGTTCTTCATGAAATTGCAGATTTATGAAAAGCATTATACATGTTCAAATAATTACTCTGGAATCTATCCACCATCTACGTCAAACACTGTTTCCCATTTGCTAAGCAGTCGGTTTCCACAGGTAAAGACGTTTCGAATCTAGGACGCGATCCACTCCTTGACATCAGCCACCAAGCGTTCCATTTCATCGTAAGTTCTGGTCGCTAGCCAATCCTTCCATAGAAATCCCTGTCGGTTTATATGGCAGATTCAGCAGCGAATCCCACTCATTGTTCCCCGGCCGAAAAGTCCGTTGAGAACGCTAAACGACTTTGCCACCTTCCCAGTATAATGTGGCGAATATGAAGATGGCTTTCTAGACACATCATGTTAGGGAAGGCGAGAAGATCATTCCTATCAAATTCCGAATATGATGGAAAAGAAGCGGCAAAAAAACCTGCAATAAATAGGCATCTGCTTAATAAATTTACTGTTGATTCCCATAATATATAACTGAGATCTGATGAGCAGAGGATAGACCAACACTCCTTTGGAGCCGTTTAGCTGATATAATAGTCACTACTTGAGGTTTCTGATACCGTTTCAAATGCAATTGTAGTCAACGTTGTAGCCAACAGATAAATTTTTCAGGCTCCTCAAAGCCCTGAATTGTATAGATACGTCAAAAAACCACATTGGAGTTAAGACCTTCAGTTCACTCTCTCTTTGGCCATCAAGCACTTTTTCCAATTTGTTTTATTTATTCCCAGTTCTTATTGGAGTGGAATAAAAACTGGTAATAAATATACTGGCTTCTATCCCTCCAGGGTCGACTAAATGGTACCAGACCCGTCTGGGAGGATAAAATCACTGACTTGTACATCGGCCGGCTATAGCAAGACAGTGTATAGACCACACAGACATTTAAAGTCTCCCTACGATTCTGAATGGGCCGAATGCTTGGCACATTTTAAGGGGTTTATCTCTCTTTTATATTTATTTCACTTAAAATTATTAATTCGTACCGTTATGTTACAATTCTGATTATTCTTTACATTTCCATCTACATTTTTCCTGATTTTATACTTCCATTTTTTATTTTTGGAACTGTTTTGCTTTCTTCAAAGCGACACATTGTAAGATATCCCAGAAAGGGACGGAAAGTAAACGAAATCTGATGAATACCATAATGCATAAGTCATCATTCGCATTCAACAGATTTACTCTTCTTGGCACTCCTTTCTACCACGAATAACCCTTGGCTATTTCCTATAGATTCATTGTCAACCTTTCAATAAGATTCACCGCCTACGATGAAGGCGATCAGATTGCTGGCGCCAGTACCTCGAGAGCCGCGACGGGTATGCCACTGGCATGAGTGCTGCCTAAAAAGGCATAACACTCTCGTGATAGATTCAGTGGCTGCTCACTTGACGTACAGGAGAGACGTGTGGGGAAGTTGTGGTTGGAATAAATATCGATATATAGAAAGTGGAATTTTGCTCACTAATTTTACTACCTCCGTTGAAAAAAAGGTTGATTAGGTCGTCCGCTCAGATACTGGCTTTGAGAAAAGCACCTACAACACCTATCTTAATACAATTCTTTTCAGTGCTTGCTAGATTAGTATGTTGTGTTGAAACGTTGTGCTTCTGCTTGTTTCCCACCGCCAGCAATTGCCGTTCCTCCTCTGTAAATTATCTAATGATAAATTTACTGTGAAAGTGACCTTCATTTTAAGTGCCAAGCTGAGGGTACACGTTGCTCTTAACTCTGCATCTGTTTGACAACATTGCCAGTTGAAGCATAATCCATGTGGGTGTTGAACAACGGACACCTTAGAAATATTTGAAAAAGTTCCTGAGAAAGTCGCAGCAGGTGCCGATCTGTCGTTGATGACTGGGAAGATATCCTTAGGTCTGCCCTGAACGTCTATCTTCAGGACCTCGCAGTCAATCATCTTCACCACTCCAGTGAGGAAAGTGGAGATGTAAATAAGGTACCAACTATGGGAGCCATCAGTTCCTCAGGTACAATCCAATAGATTCTCATCGAGTCTTGATGGAGAAGGAGTGTAAACTCCTCTAGTCATTACGGTAGGTGAGGAAATACGATAAGCGTTCTTTAAGCTGCAAGGTTTATATCTCTGATCATCTTGAATTATTCGCGTTATTTAGCCCAGTGGTAGGAATGAGGGCTTTGTTTGCTTCTGAATCGTCCGAAGCTATGTAGTGCATGCATTTGCACAGCGTCTTGGAAAGAAACTGAGGTTTGGGATAGAAAAAGTTCTCCGTGGAGGAGACGGCTTTGAATGGCTCTTCTGGACCTTTGTGGTTAAAGCGCAGAATAGAAAAAAGGACCATCAAAAGGTGGCGACGTGCTGTGGATGCCAAGTACCAGAAATTGGAACCCGTGTTATCCTCATGTTTCAGTAAAAGAGCGGAAGGCGTTATGAAACGAACCCTGTATCGATGTTGAATGCTGTTCCTGCCACTCAGCAAATGAGAGGTACGATCTGATCATGCTTCTCACCAAATGCGCCACTCACGCAATGATCTCGATTCTGGATGTGTGAATAGTTTTTTGTCGGAGCTTATGCCGCTGGAGACGTACGTACTCGTGTAAAGCATGGCTTGGAGGTCTGTCCCAAAGGTGAACTTACGATAAAATTGGCCTCTGAGTTTTCTCCCTGATTGCAACCTGTGATTCTTAAGGATAGTGCAAGGGGCGCTGCCTGTTCGAAAAACGGCCTAGACGGCTTAGCGAAAGTCCAGGAACCGGCTTTCCCGACGAACGCACCTAAGGCATGATCTAAAAGCAGTAGAGGTTGCACCATTTGCATCGGAATGCACCCGTTGTACGCCAGCAGCTTACTGTAGCCATACCCAATAGTACACACATCTGGACAGCTCGTTCAAATACTCTTTCCATGCAACTTTTGCAGTCATTCTCGTCCAACCCCCAATTTTGCTATTTTTTTGGAAACCTTACATTTCTCCCAAAACACCACTGTCGCGTTTTCTTCGCTACTTTGAAACTTTGCGGACTATCACTTCCATTATCCTCAAAATTACCTGCACTGTGCTCTTAAGTTCCCTGATGATTATAAGATGTGGAATCTTGATGTTTCATAAGAATTTTCAACATCTGTAGCGTTAAATTTCGGGTGATGATTAGGTGATTTGACAGATTTGGCAGCTTTAATTAAACGCTTATGAAGTTGAACAACGGTTAGCCCAAACATCGTCGGTTCGCCGGTCCAGGAGTATTCCGGTGCTCCAATGCCTAGCAGTTTTGCGAACAAAGGTTCCGACTTTGAACCCAACGATAACGAAGATACGGAGATAATGGCTGGGATGGTGTGTAAACACAAAGCCGCAGAGTAAAAGCAGTCATACTTGATTTTACTCATGCTTTTAAAGTTCATGAACCGACTTCCGTAGCATTTATCAGATATCATTTTCGAACAAATTATATAACCATTGTAAACAAGTCTATTATTTACACAGTGCTGAGCAAGACCGGGATCACAATGCGACTTTCGCATAGCACAGGATTCAGTCATGGTATCAAAGGAACAACGGAATTTGCTGAGCTGATCTGACTCGATTCACGAGGGAATGAGTACGGATCGGCGTCTTCATCGCTGGCACTGACGGCTGCCGTTCCATCCTTGTCTTCCCCTGTGCGATCGCTCTTCAACAGATCTTCGACCCCGTCTAGCCAGTACGTTAGAAGTGTACCGATGCCCTAAATGTGGTTGCATTGAAAACCCTGAAAAAAAGAACTTTGAACGGAAACCTACATCGATTTTCACGCTCCCACGCGAACTGCTCTTGAACTCTGGAAATCGTGCCGATAACATTTGATGACTCTTCAATGTCATTTGTATTCGGTCTGGTACTCCAGAGTTTTCCATTTTCGCGGCTATGGTTACCTGGAAAAGGTGCTGGTGATTAGGCGATGTGGCACCAGGATTGCCAATGAACTCACAGTCGGTCCAAATACGGAGTAGCGCGGTGCTCGAATGCCTACCACCCCCGTGAACACAGGTCCTGTATTGAAACCCCAACGACAATGCAGATATTGACCGGGACGATGTGGAATCATGAAGTCGTAGAGGAACTGTAACAGACAACTACATAGTTTTTATAAGTCTGGAGCAAAAGGAGAACTTCCCATCAGATTGGGAAAATTTCGTGCTCTTGGAAGTATGAGGACGACCCTGCTGTTAATCAACCGTATCAGGAAGCGCCTACGCTCTCAGTTTCCTCCAGATTGGTAGTAATGCATGAATACGTTTCTGACCAATACAATAATTTATGGCCGAGCATTCTCCGGGACCTAGACAAACTGTTCTCTTACAAATTGACGAACATGGAAGGGTAAAACTTCTAGTAAGATGGCATTTGCTGTGCTGGGCCAACTAGGTGTTGGTTCGAGATTCGAGATCTCTGAGCCATTCTTGTGATGAAGGATTATTCGAAACTGCTTTTCCTCTTCCTCAGGCTTATAACTTAAGATATTTGACTGCAATGACTCTATTGGGACCTTTGTGGTGGGCAATCATAGCGACTAGCATAGTTTCAGTTTGGGAATCTCTCATCATTTGGGTAGTAGGTCGAGCCGTGCCCACTCGATGGGTGCCATATATGAGCTGTTCGTCTTCTGCTGAATAGCCATCTTAGAAAGCGCTCAGCTCCCTCAATTTCTTAATATCCCTTTCTGAAGATAAAGATGAATTTTGGAATCAAATGAACGATTTTTGAACGATCGAGACGCTTCCTAAGAGGACTGATTTGATACAGGAGCCTGCCTAGCATTTCCTCTCTCGTGGAGTGTATTCCAAGGTGTGGACGGTCTGGTTAGGTAAAGTTTGAAAAGAAAAACTAGATACAAACCTCCCTTTGAAGCAGTGCAATAGTCGCAATATTGCAGACATGTTCAGTTTTGCTGGGGGTTGGAACACCGGAAGCCACACAGTAGGCGTCACCGATCGTCTCCATCTTCAACATGTACGTTCAACAGGGTTCCAATCCAGACAACCGGCAAATCACCTACCTTGTAGCCATTATGCATGCTAATAATATGGTCAAACTTTTGGAACACTCCACTTAGCAGAGCAACAACCTTAAAGAAAGGTTTTTCAGACTTTCTTCTTCTTGAAAAGATAGATGAAGATACCTCCATTGGTTCGGATTCGGAGCATAACGATGTGAAACCAACGATATCAGAGTATAGTATCGATGCCGACTTGTAGTTCTTCGCGTCTACTCTTCTGCCAACTTTCAGCTCCTCAGCTACTGATCTGGAATGCATTTGTTTGTTCAGACCTCAATAATCTATTATGGGGTCATGAATCTAGAATAGTGAACTTCTACGGAGGTGGTGTAGTGTCAAGTGGTGCACCATCACACACACACTCATATTCTACGGATCAGTGCCGACTCACAATCACNCCGGCAAATCACCTACCTTGTAGCCATTATGCATGCTAATAATATGGTCAAACTTTTGGAACACTCCACTTAGCAGAGCAACAACCTTAAAGAAGGGGCTTTCAGATTTTTTTCTTGAAAAGATAGATGAAAATACCTCCATTGGTTCGGATTCGGAGCATAACGATGTGAAACCAACGATATCGGAGTATAGTATCGATGCCGATTTGTAGTTCTTTGCGTCTACTCTTCTGCCAACTTTCAGCTCCTCAGCTACTGATCTGAAACGCACTTGTTTGTTCAGACCTCAATAACCTCTTATGGGGTCATGAATCTGGAATGGTGAACTTCTACGGAGGTGGTGTAGTGTCAAGTGGTGCACCTTCACACCCACACACTCATAGTCTACGGATCAGTCCCGACTCACAATCACCCGGGTCAACCAAGCTTACGCTCCGTCTGGGTCCAGTTGATTGGTGTCAGAATTGCCTGGGAGCATAAAAAGCACTCATTCAGTATCGCTAAAAGCGCGTTCATCGGCTGGCCACCGAAAGTCACTGTTTGGGCCACGTGAGCATTTAAGCGGCACTGGATTTTGAATTAATGTCGACTCCTACACAAGCATCAAAGAACTTTGTGCTTAGGCTTCAATTTTCAATGAATCTAAAGGAATTCGCACCATACGTGCTTGTTTGCGTTTTGATAAAAATAAAATACTGATTGTTCTATGGCAATCCCAAAGTTAAGCTTAGGAGCCTGGCAAAGCCGGGAACAGAGTGAGAAACTTGGTATTTCCCTTCAGTATAAGACCAAAATTATCTATTGGTTTGGTGCAAGAATCGAGCATAAGGTTACGAAGAGCCTCAATTGATAGCCTACAGTTTCAAAGAAAAGTGTTTCCCAGAAGACCAAACAATGGTGCAGTGCAATTACTTGGGAAGCAGCTCCGAGAGCAGCTCGTCTGCCTTCTGCTGTGCTTCTTCCAAAAGTCCAGTCCTTCGTTTAACAAGCTCCTCAAGACCATTTGTGTATTCCTCCATATTCTTTATCATTTGGTCGACGAGTGATCCGGACCTACAAATGGTCAAGAACGATCCATCGACCCTCAGATATCTATTTGTCAATTTTGCAGAAATGTTAACTTCACATTTTCAACGTTGCATCGGTTATCTTCCTAGCACGGCCTGTATCCGGTCGGTTGTCCTGAAAAGATAGCAAGCTTTTTAGAGCTCATGAAAATTCATAAGTCAAAACATTGCTGTCCAGCCAATTCCCATGTCCAGCTTACAGTTGGCCACGTTGCTTACCACGTTATCCCAGCATTTCTGTATGAGTCCACGAAGGTCAGCATGAACTTCACGGTCTTCTGGTACCGTCGGCGGATGAGCTTGCAGAACATCGTCGGCTTTTTCACAAATAATAACGTCGTCTTCACCTGAAAACGGTATTGCTTTGCTGAAATTTTGGAATCTAGAAACCCCATAACATTTAATGAAAATATGCGGGAAACTTGTCCGGAACTCGTCCCACCCCAAAACTCGTAGTCATTTCATTCTAAAGCACACCCAAGTTCCAATGGAGTCTGTGTCTTGCTTGAATGCGAATGAAACGAATCATACGGTACCGCGGACATGCACATTCTCGTCCTCAGGGAACCGGAAAACGTCCGTTGCGCGCGCCCGTTGAAAGTAGGTCACCCCGCCCACTTCGCGCGCGGCGCACCCCACTGAGGTCCCGAGATGACATTACAGTACCATCAAGTGTGAGTGGAGCAAACAATTTGCATTTGTCCATGTTATCTTCTCATTGGCTGGATGCCGTGGACCAAGCGCAACTCGTATGCCCCACTGACAACTGCGACATTTGTCAAAGATCGCGGCTGATCCGCCGCATGCGACAGCTGCGGCATGACCTAGTTTCGACGGACGCGCGCAACGAAGCGGCACCCCATAGAACTGGGACACTGCAGTTCCAATATGCCGGATGGGGGTTCTATCAAGAATCTGTGGTTACGACCTTCTTGGTTGAATGTACCTTACCATCCGTTCCATCGATACGTCCGGTAGCTTTCTCAATGCGTCGTATATGTTACGGGTTTTTTTTCTGGGTCTAGTGGCTACACAATTTCATTGCGCATGACTACTACTGTAACACACATTCCGCAAATTGAAATTTTCTTATTCCAGTATCAGACTCGTTTCATGTGTTGCGGCAATGAGTGAGACCAAGATCTATCCGAATTATTCAGAAGAATCGGGTTGTTTTTGTGAAGGAAGGCGTTCATTCTCGAGCTTGCCGTTATTACTGGTGGGGGAGGGATCAAAAAATAAGGCTGTGCTTTTTACGCCCTTCCCGCAGGCGATGAGAAAGGAAGGAAGTCACGACTAGAATCTCAAAATTATTTTATCCCCCAATGTACCACTGTGGCGAAAAATTACGTGCCTCTACAGCACCATTTCATGTTGGTGAAAAAAAGACGCGAACCTTCGGTCACCGCATTACAACGTTTTATCATAAGGCATTAAGAAAAGGGAAGATGAAATGATAAAGAAGGTTTTCAAAAAAAAGGGGAATCTTTATGACGCACAAGAACCTCACCTTCGTAATAATCATCCACTTCCACGTACTTTCGTCGGAATAGAATTTCGAAGAGAATTGTCCCGAAAGACCACATATCCGCAGCCTAGGCTTGTTCCATGTTCACTTTAGAAAAAAAATTAACTAATATTTGACCGAAACAAAAATGAATCACCTTTCCCAAAGCATTCGTTATTTGAAGTCCTTCGAATTTGTTTGAATACATGTGTGATCGCAATTCCGATCGAATTTCAGGAGCGAAGTAGTGAAGGTCTGAAATGTTGTACAAGGATGTTGAAATATCAGAACGGAACACTAAGTATCAGTGAAAATTAGTACGGTGGCACGATGGGGGCCACGATGGAATCCATAAAAAGTTGACACATAATAGGGACTCATGCCGATCCTTCAATTGCAAGTGTCCTCCGCTCAACCAGAACACAGGCTTGTTCTATATAGACAGAAGAAAAGAGCAAGGAGTAAAAGTAGTGAATCCATCACGACTTTCCATTAAACTGTAAATTCATTTGACTTCTGTAATACTTGAGCTAAGCGTCCGATCATGGCGATGATTTCATTCAAGCCGTTGAGTGCCGTTCCAGGTAACTGGTATCCTGGAGAAATAGAAGGGCCATCTGTTCTTGGCAAGGTCGGATCTATCGACTTTGTCAGCCATTGTTGCCTTTTTCACACCACACAATCTTACAATATTGTCGAAATAAACGCAGAACAGTACAAGGTTAGCTGACCTCCATTAGGAATGAAAGGACGACCATCCTCAGTTCCGATGACACCAGAATTTTTCATACGGAACAGCATTCGTGAAACACCAAATCCGGATACCTGGTATATGAAATATCGATCATTGGATATCGTTCCCCCTATAGTGCAGGATAGAATCGAATTTAAATATATTCCCAAGAAAGAAAAAAAAATTTGGAATGGACCTTCAGAATCCAGTGTGAGTCGATCAAACAGTGCCCAGTTGTAAGGGATCCATGATAACCAATAGAAGAATTGTGAATGTAATCGAGCCCCTATAACGCTTGGTAGTCAGTCTGAAGTGTGAAAAACTTCTGTGCTGAACAATCCGTTTAGAACTCCCGAACTTCGAAAACATTTACGGTATACGCTGATCCCCTTGGAGATCTCATACAGATTGATTGAGTTGAATGACAGCGATGCAGAGGTGCGCTTCGTTGCTCGCGTCCGTCGAAACTAGGTCACGCCGCAGTCGTCGCACGCGGCGGGTCAGCCCGAGATACTTGATAGACGTCGCAGTTGTTAGTGGGGCATACGCTTTGCGCTTGGTCCACGACAGTCATTTCAATTAGAAGATGATACAGACAGATGCAAATCATTCGCTCCACTGACACTTGGTGATACTGTAATGTCTTCACGAGACATGGAAGGGGTATTTAAACGATGTTTCAGTAGTTGCAAATGGGCAAAGAGCTGACTACATCAACCCAAAGCTATCTAAAATTGTCTTACACT